TCTTGGATCAACTATCAACACTCGCGGAAGTAGCAGTCAAGAGATCAGAAGACGTATTGCACTGGGCAAATCTGCTGCACAGGAACTTTTTAAAGTATTGAAGAGCAGAGATGTCAGCTTGAGGACTAGGGTGCGCCTGACCCAGGCCATTGTGTTTTCAATAGCCTCATATGGATGCGAAAGCTGGACAGTGAATAAAGAGGATCGTAGAAGAATTGATGCCTTTGAGTTGTGGTGTTGGAGGAGAATACTGAGGGTGCCATGGACTGCCAAAAGAACCAATAGATCTGTTTTGGAAGAAGTGCAGCCAGAGTGCTCCTTGGAGGCCAGGATGGCTAAGCTTCGTCTCTCCTACTTTGGACATGTAGTCCGGAGGAAACAATCGTTGGAGAAGGATGTCATGCTGGGTAGGGTGGAGGGTCAGAGAAAAAGAGGGAGACCTCCAACGAGATGGATCGGCCAGGTGGCATCATTGATGGACTCGGGGGTGGCAGCGGTGGTGAGGTTGGCCCAGGATCGAACATTGTTTCGTTCTGCTGTGCATGGAGTCGCTATGAGTCGGTTCCGACTCGATGGCACCTGACAACAACAACAACGACAGAGAAAATTAATACTTCACAACATACCAAGAAAATGAAAATCCTAGAAGAACATGACAACATTAAAACTATGAGGAAACTCACAAGAAAGAACACAAAAAGCATGAACTCAGCAAAGGAAGACATACAGAACAAAGAAAGCATCAACACCACATAAAAGCTAGCATAATGACAGCAAAATATTTCATACCTTTGCTATGAATTCTTCATACTGTCAACAGATTAAATGCACCAGCTCAGAGATGGAAAGCAGTAGAATGGATAAGAAAACAAGATCCTTCAATATGCTGTCTGCAAGAGACACACCTTACACAAAGACATATAACAGATTAAAAGTTAAAGGATGGAAAAAAAACTATACCAAGCTAATTGCAAAGAACAAGCAGAAGTGGTGATACTAATCTCTGATAAACTTTAAGGCAAAAACCAGCATAAAAGATAAAGAAGAACATTATCTCACGATTAAAGGGTCAATTAAACAAGATGACATAACCATAATAAATATCTATTCCCCGTGGAAAAAAAACCCAAAATATATAAAGCAAACCCTAATAAATTTGAAGAAAGAAATAGACAAGCTTACAATAATACTGGTAGATTTTAATACACCACTTTTGAAAAAGGATAGAACAACCAGAAAGAAACTTGACAAAGACACAGAACTAAACAACACAATCAACTTGACCTCATAGATGTGTACAGAGCATTCAACCCAACAATAGCACAATACAGATTTTCCAGTACACATGGAACATTCTCCAGAATAGATCATGTGTTAGGTCACAAAACAAGCCTCCATAAATTTACAAATATCAGAGTGATAAAAAGCATCTTCTCAGACCATAGTACTATAAAATTAGAAATCAACAATAGGAAGACCAAGGAAATAAAGTCAAATACATGGAAACTGAACAACACCGTACTTAAAAGCTACTGGGTTTTAGAACAAATAAAAGGCGAACTCACAAAGTTCCTAGAAACAAATGAGAATGAAAACACAACATACCAAAATCTTTGGGACACACAAAAACAGTGCAGAGAAGAAAATTTAATTGTATTAAATGCACACATCCAAAAGAAAGAATAAAAATCTTTAGCACAACATCTCCAACAATTAGAAACAGATGAGCAAAGTAAACCTATAGTCACCAGAAGAAAAGACATAACGATTAGAGCAGAAATAAATGAGATAGAAAAACTATAGAAAGAATCAACAGGACATTAAGCTGGTTCTTCGAAAGGATTAATAAAATTGACGAACGATTTGGAAACCTATCAAAAGAAAAGAGGGAGAAGATACAAATAACACGCATAAGAAACTACATGGGTGATGTCACAATAGAACCAATAGAAATAAGATAGATAAAAAAGTAGATGGTAAGAGAATACTATGAAGACTTGTACTCTTAACAAATTTGACCATCTAGAGGCGATGGATACATTTTTAGAAAAACACAAGGTACCTAAACTTACACAGTGAAGTAAAAAACCTGAACAGACCCATAACAACAAAAAAAATAAATTCATAAGGTCATGAAAGAACTCACAACCAAGAAAAGTCCAGGCCCAGATGACTTCACTGGTGAGTTCTACCAAATATTCAGGGAAGAGTTGTGACCAATTCTACTCAGATTATTCCAGAATATAGAAAAGATTGGAAAACTTCCAATACATTTTATGAAGCAAGCATAACCCTCATACCAGAACCAGGGAAGGACATCACTAAGAAAGAAAATTATAGACCAATATCCCTCATGAACATAGACGCAAACATTTTCAACAAAATCCTAGCTAACAGAATCCAGCAGCACATCAGAAAAATAATACATCGTGATCAAGTGGGATTCATATCAGGGATGCAAGGATAGTTCAACATTAGAAAAACAATGTAATCCACCATATAAAATTTTAAAAGGAAAAGAACCACATGATCATATCAATTGATGCAGAAAAGGCATTTGACAAAATTCAACATCCATTCCTGATCAAAACCCTCAATAAAGTAGAAATTGAAGGGAAATGCCTCAACATAATTAAGAGCATATATACAAAACCAACAGCCAGCATCACTCTTAGTGGAGAGAAACTGGTTTTAAATATGTCCAAGTGTGAAATATAAAATATTAAATCTGACAAGTTTGGGAAAATTATAGGTTAAGTAAGTGTGTTATCTTAAATTTAACTTAAATACTGAAAAAACCCCTGAAACTTAAATACTGAAAAAAACCCTGAAACTCAAATTATAACATGTTAATATCATATCTTTCCCTTTTCCTGGGTGTCAAGAGAACTAAAAATGAAATAAAAGTTAGCTAAAGTATAAATCATACTATTAATGTGTTGTTTACATATGCAGCTCTGAATTTGTTCCTTTTTTTTTTTTTTTTTTTGTGAATTATGTGATGGTTTACATGGGAAAACATTAGTTTTACATTCATCTCATCGAATATCGATTCATTGCTGTGGTTACAGTCCCCTCCATGCATCATTAACCGACCATAGGGTATACACTACAAGCCTGCCCCTCGGTCGTCAGCACACAGCCCCTCTCCCTCTGTGTCTAAAGTCCCCAACTGCTCCATCTCTCCACGTCATCGTCTCTGCCTCCATCTCAGGCATCACTGCCTCTCTGGGTAGCGTGTGATTTTGTTCTTATAAGCTGTTGAATAGGGATAAGCACTGAACCCAAGGTCAGTTTGAACCACAAAGTTGGTGGTTCAAATTCACCAGTTGGTCCTTGGAAAGCCTATATAAAGTTGCTATGAATTGGAACCGACTCAATGGCATTTGTCAACAATCTGGACAGTAGGAGCCTTGGTGGCTGCTTAAAGCTGCTTAAAGGTCTTCAGTTTAACCCCCTTTCCACAGGAGAAAAGACATGATAATCAGCTCTCTTAAATATAATATTCTAGGAAACTCTGGGGCAGTTCTGCTCTATTACATGGTGTCAATAAAAGAGTTCGAATCTACTTGACTTGCTGGCACACAACATCTTCTTTGTTTGTTCTCTCAGTTGATGTAGAGAAAGGCTTTTATGTATGATTACTATGTTGTTGTTGTTAAGTGCCATCGAGTCGGGTCCGACCCATAGCGACCCTGTACAGGGTTTCCGAGGGTGTAAATCCTTACGGGAGTAGAAAGCCTCATCTTTCTCCCGCGGAGCGGCTGGTAGTTTCGAACCGCTGACCTTAAGGTTCGCAGCCCGATTCGTAACCACTACGCTACCAGAGCTCCTTATGATTACTATATAATAGGTAATTTAGTCCATGACAGAGTAGTAAGTCTAGTTGTAGTAATTCTTTAAGACACCTAATAATGTATTAGTCTTATAGGCCTTAAGTAGCAGCAACACATTTTCTTGGTTGTTTATAGTATATATTTCTAGCTCTTTTAAGCCAGTGTAAAGCTAGTAAATTAAAATTTAATAAAGGATGAAGGGATGCACTCTGCTATCATATGACAAAGGTAACACCAAAAGAATACGTTGGCATATTGGCCTTGCTTCATTTATAACTGAAACCTGCCTGTCAGGATGTGTGTTAAATTCTATAACTGTTAGTAGTGGTCTTTAAGCCTTGTTAGTGCTGTAGGAGAAGCACTGGACTTTGAACCTAAGGGCGGCAGTTCAGCCCCACCAGCTGCTCCACACAGGAAACATGAGGGTGTCTGCTCCTGCACACCATTCATATTACTTATAAACTCCAATCTTTGTAGATGGGAGAGCTCTGTTTTGGGGTATTCTCCCCCTTTCATAGCTTTATCATTTTATTCTTCAATGTAAAACAGTCCCATGAAAAACAAGCTTAATTTACTGATGCTCCTTTTTTATTTCAGTTTTGAAGTCAAACTGATTTCAGATACAGAAACTTTTATCAACAAAGTTTTAATTAATTTTTTGGACTTTTGTCTATTCCTGAAACCTTGTTTTATAATTTTATTTCAAGAATGGAGGAAAGTGAAAGAAAAAGAACCAGAGACTAGCCAATTGGAGAACAGTTTTATAAATGGGCCCAAGAATTGCATATATTTTTGGGTGTAAAATCAATCTGCTAAGATATGTAAACTTTTTCTTTCTTTAAGTAGACACAGGTCACTTTTAGATGAAAACGATAAAGCAGAAAGCAGTTATTAATAACAAATATTTGTATTGGGTACCTACCATGTGTAAGTCCGGTACTGTCTACTTTCTAGAAGCAGTGGAGTGTGTGCAGTGACAGCAATGAGAAGGTCTGCTGATCATAGTGGTTGTAATGGCGGTGGGGGTGGGCAGTAATTTTCCCCTGTAAAGTTTGACTGTCAGTATCTCAGTTTAAAAAGTTGAATGGCTAATACTGGAATGAAAGGCTTTCTGCAGAATCCTCCCACATCAGGGCAGTAATAAAGTAGTGCATGTTTTACTAGGCCTGGAACCCTGCTGCTGAAGACCAGTGCTTTGACAGATGCCATCGACTTGGCCAGAAGCAAGAAGTTATCATCACAAAAGTGAGTTTTAAAACCACCTAGTTTGAGATAAAAAATTGAATATATTATTGTAAAAGGTTAAAATAGAATTTTACACAGTAAAATGTCAGGAAACATTATCAATAGTTTAATATGGGTACTTGATGATCCCTTACTAAAGATTTAAATGCTTTCAAATTTATGTATGGATCATACTTTATTATTCTGCAGCCTGTTTGTTTTTTAACAGTATGTGTTGAAAACTTTTTCGTGTTAGTACATTTAGGTCTAACTCATTCTTTTTAACAGCTACATGCTGTAGCTCATAGATATATCATAGTTTATTTAACCAGTTAAATTTTTTTTACTAATCCTAGTAAAAAGCCTTAATAAACTTTATTGTACATGCATTATTGTTGTACATTATACAAGTATCTAAGAAAACCAGAATACTGGATTTAGGATTTTTACTAGATGATTGCCAAGTTGCTTTCAAGACAGACTTAATGTTATAGGAGGATGATCTGATAAATTTATGCTTATGTATGTGATGGTCAAAAGAGCACCGTTCTAATTTGAATTGGCATAATTGTTTATAGGGTAAGCACTGGACTGCTAACCAAAAGGTTTGGCAGTTTAAACCCACCAGCCACTCCTCAGTATCCCTATGCAGGGTCTCTCTATGAGTCAGAACTGAATCAACCGCATTTGACAACAACACATTTTTTGTAACTTTGAGCATATTACACATATTTGTTGTATATTAATATTCCTTTTGTGAATTGCCTATTTTTATTTTACCCAGTTTCCATTGTTGTTGTTGTTAAGTGCCGTCAAGTCGGTTCTGACCCATAGTGACCGTGTACAGGGTTTCCAAGGCTGTAAATCTTTATGGGAGCAGAAAGCTTCATCTTTCTCCTGCAGAGCGGCTGGTAGTTTCAAACTGCTGATCTTAAGGTTTGCAGCCCGATTCATAACCACTACGCTACCAGAGCTCCTTCCAGTTTCCATAATTATTTTATAAATAATGTTTATAGTACAATGTAGTTTTATAATTAAAAGGAACCTTTTTATATGTTCTGATTTTATTTTATATATTCTGATTTTATTTTTTTCGTTATATATTAAAATGGTTTATTCCACTCTTGTGTATTTTTTAACTTTATGTGCTGTTTCTCATGAAAAACTTCTATGATTTAAAAAATATCAACATTTTTCTTTTTAGCATCTGAGTTTTAAGGTCTTGATTAATATAAGGCTTTCTCCAAATTTATATAACTTTCCCTATACTTCCGATTCTTTTTGAAAATTTTTATTTTGTGTTTATGATTGTTGTTAAGTGCCGTTGAATTGGTTCTGACTCATAGCTACCCTCTGTTGGTGGCTGGTGAGTTTGAATTGCCAAACTTGCGGTCCAGTGCTTACTCTATAGCCCCACACCAGGACTCCTTTTGATGATTAGTGATACATAACTTTATTCTTTTTTCAAATGAAGAGACGTTTGATCCATTACTGTGCTTTTGAAAAGACCATTCTTTTTTCTACTGATTTGAAATGTCACTTTTATTGTAAATTAATTCATTTATATTACATGTGGCTCTTTGTATTCTGTTTTGGTATATATATGGGAGGGCTAAAGTACACATTGCTCTTTTTGAAAACAATCAGTTATTCCTGTTGGTTTTACTCTTGAATTGCGCTTTATTGAAAGTTTTTTTGAAATTTATAATTGTATAGAGTTTGTCATTAGTATAAAAACATTCCTATCCAGGAACATTGATAGCACCTCTCCATTGTATATCATATCAGTAAAAATGTTTTATACCATAACTTCTTTTTCTTTGATTATTGCAATAATTAGGATCATTGTATAGTGTTTAATAGTCGTGCTGATGATAATCATGTTTGATTTTTTTCTTATTTTTATTGTGAATACTTTTATTGTTTTACATTAAGCATATTTTCTTATGTAGCTGATTTGTACCCTTAATAAGATTGAAGATTTTTTTTATTCCTATCTTAATGACTCTCATAAACATTTTTATCTTATTTTCATGATTTTTAATCAGCAATAAATGTTGAATTTTATCCAATAATTTTTAGGTATCTATTGAGATAATGAAGGAGTCATAATAGCATAGTGGTTTATACATTAGGCTGCTAACTGCCAGGTCAGCAGTTTGAGTCCACCAGGTGCTCCATGGGAGAAATATGAGGCTTGTGCTTCTGTAAAGATTTACAGCCTTGGAAATCTCACACAGGGTTGCCATGAGTCAGAATAAAGTCCAGGACACACCACAACCACAACCACAACCCTTGAGATTATCATGTTTTCTTTCCTCTTTAACTTGTTAATGTAATGAATTAAATACTGGATAATGATTTATTCTTGCATACCTGGAAAAAGTACTTTTAAAAAAAAGTGCTATAAATTCATCTTATTAAGAATGCTATAGTTTCGTATTTATCTTTATTACTTATAATTAGCTAGATGGTTGGTAGTGTTTATATGCTGTAGAGTTAATTCTGACTCACAGTGACCATGTCTAGGGTTCCTGAGGCTGTAAATCTTTATGGGAGTAGAAAGCCTCATCGTTCTTTCATGGAGCCAGCTGATAGATTCAAACTGCTGACCTTGTGGTGAGCAGCCCGACTCGTAACCCACTGCACAACCAGAACTTCTTTATAACTTAAAATTACCCAGATTTCTTATTTTGTGCTATTCTCTATTGGTGGAGTTATGAGATATAACTTTTGTCTCTAAGGCTCTATTCTTTATATAGAAAAATCATATTGAATGATAAGTAGAAGCAGTGCTCAAATATAGTTATTATGAATATTCTCATACAGAGAAAAGGGTGATAAAGCAGTTTCTAATAGGCTACTGAACTACTGATGTGATGCTGTAGGATCAGCACTGGGACTGTGAACCACAAGGTCAACAATTCAAACCCACCAGCTGCTCCTTAGACACCCTATGAGATGGAACAGACTTGAGGACACTTAACAACAACAATATGTTACTATTATACATTTTTGAAAGCCATGTGAAATACTTTTAAGAAAATAAGTTTTTTTTGCAGGTGTTTATGTTCTCATCATGTCCCAAAGTTTCTTTCCTTTTTTGTTGTGGACAGTGTTCTTTGTATTTTTGCCCTTCATGCTTTTCAATAATAGTTCATGTAGTTGTTTTAGTAGCAGGTGTTTTTTGTTGTTGTTGTTGTTATTGTTATTTTAAACAGTATTTAAAAAGTACTTAACAATTTAATGCTTTGTTTTTTCCTTTTTCTTTTTAAAGTTCATTGTAAAGGACTCTGTGGAAGAAAATATGCTGAAAATACAAAACACAAAGAGAGAACTTGCAGCTGGAGCTTTTGGAACTAAAAAACCAAATGCTAATGAAATGAAACAAGCTAAAATCAATGAAATCAAAACTTTAATCGATTTATAATTTGCATGGTTTTAGTAAAGTCAGTTTGGATAGATACATGCAGAAGTTTTAGAACTGAGGAGACCTAGAAAGTATGTCTTCTAAACGGAGCATAGTTTATATTGGTGTAGAGGTATTATTGACATATTCTCTTCTATACCCGAGTCTATTTTTAATGATAGTTCAAAATAGCAATAAGTTCCGTTCTATACTGTGGCCTAAAATAATTTTTTGAGGGGGGGCTGGAAAGTTACTTTACTAATCAACTTTTCATAATATCTATGCTGAGTATTTTCATATATCTCCCAAATACTCTGCATTTTTCATATCTTAAATGTGGTCAAATCTTTTATACTTTTGACCAAGTAAAGCGTTATTTTCTGTGTTGGACATGTGTGTGGTTTTTCACCAAAGCTTCTCATTTGTGATCCAATGGATTCCCAATCCTTATATACATTGATTTTTAAAAAGAGAGCTTTGATTGGAGTTTTCAAAAACCCTATTTGCATTCCCGAACCAAACCATACATAAAAGACCAAAGTCCAGGTTAGCAAGTTGATTGCAGTTTTGTGTTCATGAAAAAATTGACTGTGCACTATTTTCTCCAGTTTTGTCAGGTGGTACTATAGTCATTCTTTAAATGTAACTGGATGTTTAGGGTGTAAATACAGTCTGTGGATGTGGGAGAAAACCAATTCTGCCCAATTTAATTTGAATATTTAAATTATGGCATTGTCAAATAGATATTTCTATAAATAGATAATTTTTATTTATGTAGGTTTTTTGGGAAATAACTTTATAAACTTTTATAATTCAGAAAACTACTGTATGTGGGAAGTATGATACCTGGATGGAAGCTGAGCTGGGTGACCTTGAAGGTCATTTCAGCCCTTAAAGACATCTTAATCCTAAATGTAAACATTTCTTTATGTGTTTAGAATGACATTTTGGTTTTGGATCTTAATTCATCCTTACATTTACCTATAAAATTAATCATCTTTTTCTTACTGTTTGTTAATAAGCAAATTCATATAATTGCCACAGGATTCTTCTTGACTCTTTCAGTCACATTTAAAACATAAGATAATAAATTTAGTGATCAGGTTAACTAGTGTTGTTACTTGCTTAAGGGAAACTTTTTTTTTTTTTTTCCTTTTTGATCCAAAGAAAGGTTACTCCTGTAACATGAGGAACTTCATGTTTGATGATACAGAGTTAAAAACACTTTAGATTTTACTGGCCTGTTAGAAAAGGACTTGACTGGATGTAAGGAGGTGGAGGCAGTATTGCGCTTTAGGGCACACAGGGCTGTCATCAGCTAAGTCCTCTTCTCCCTGGGCCCTGTCTCTTATACCAAGGGAACACTGGGTTAGCTGTCCTTTTTCTCAGTGGCAGCATTTAAAGGAAATAACTGATGACAAAAGGACCAAGACACATCTCTGCAAGGATAAGAATGAAATAGTAACTTGGGATTGGTCCACGAGCAGTAAGGGAGTTCTTTACCTTCTGGGACTAGTCAACTTATGCAATGAATATAAGTCCCAACCTGCCTGAGATGAAAGCATCGGGCTGATCTGGGTCTCACGAATGTTAAAATGTGGATTTTCTAAGTATCAGTGATCCAGTGGGATTAAATATAAAAAGAGTTTCAGAAAAAATAAACACACAATCTACTTACTGCTTAAAAAGGTAAAGTCTCAAAAATCACCTTAAAGGTAAAGGCTTTACTTGCTTCTTTACTTATACATTGACATAGTTGTGTTCTTAAACACATTCATAGTGATAAGTATGGCAGGTCATTTAAAAAAATGACTTTCTGGTTTTGTACAGTTCTGTTCAATGGTGTTTTTAAAAATTTTAATTTGTCCTAAGAACATATATAAACTACTGGAATGAAAAATTCACGTTAGGCTATGCTATTAATTCTGTTATATTATTGAGTAGAATAATAGTTTTAGAAATATATTGAAAATACTGTATTCACACACTTGTGATTCAAACCAAATTTTGTGCTTCAAACTGGATTTTGTTCTAAATTTAAAATCAATAAAAAATTTCAGAAATTTTATTAGCTTATTCTGTTCATGATTTTAATACTTTTTCTTCGAAGAAAATTATTGATTCATTAAATATCATACTTCTTAAAGATGTCTATTTATGTAATTACTTTTTTATTTTAATTTCAAAATACTTTATCAACATGAATTTTGCTAGTGAATGCAAATACATTGCTTCAGATATGGTAATGTACAAGAGGGCTTCAAAATGCTCGTGGAAAAATGGAATTAAAAAATACTTCAACTCTTTGAAGCTCTCCTGGCATGACTGAACTTAAGCCACATACATAGTTCATATTTTGCATACAGAAAAGGAGTTCTGAGTTCTTAAAAATAATTTTAAGCTTCTTCCTAACATCTTATTTAATACTTTGCTAATTTATACCCTTCCTTATCCTATCTTCTAAATGTATATTTTAGGTTAGCCCATGTTGAGTTATCAAATTCTCATCCAGCAGACCCTGCCTGAATGAATGGTTGTCAGGAAGTATCTTAATTACTTACGACACTGCTTCCATTTGACTTAGTTAATTAATTTTAAATACCAAACTGACAATTGGTTCTTTGGTTGTTGCTTTTTAAATGATTGTTTCTTTAACAGTGTCCAGTCTTAACACTGGAGTCCTGGTGTGGCACTGTGGGTTAATGCACTAGACTTCAAAGTTGTTTGAACCGCAAGGACAGTGGCTCAAGCTTACCAGCTGCTCCTCGGAAAATCCTGGGTAGTGTCAGAACCAACTCGATGGCATTTCACAACAATCTTAACACTTGGGATTTACAAATAAAATAATTTGCACAGTTTACTATTTATGTAAAGTATTGAACTTCTTAGTAGTTTTGTTGTTTTTAAGTTTTTATTGTGAATTGAGTGATAGTTTACATGGGAGAACATCGGTTTTACACTTAATGTTTCATTCCAATGATTACAATGTCCTCCATGCATCAATATTTCCTTCTATTTCCTCTGTATTTCATTATTTTGGGATGTATACAAAACCACTCAAGAATATATAATCATTTAAGCAACCAAAGGACACATTCAGCAAGCCTATCTGTTGGTTGCCAGCACACAGCCTTTCTCTTTCCATGAGTCTAGCATCCTCAGCTGCTCTGTAATTACTTTTTACTGGAAATATATTAAAGGTATACTGTGATTAACTTAATAGTTTATTCATATTCTCACCACCTTGTTTTATTTTGCTTAATATAATTCTGACTCAAATTCTCAGTCAGAAATAAGTTTAAGTACCTTGATCTTTAAAAACTTTGGCTCAGGTTATTGTATTTCCTCATCTGCAGGGCTCCTTAATGGCACTATGGGTTAGGTGTTGGGCTGCTAACTGCAAGGTCGGTGGTTCAAACCCACTAGCCAACTGTGAGAGAAAAATAAGGCTGTCTGCTCCCATAGAGATTTAGTCATGTAAACCCCATAGAGGGTCACTGAGTCTGAATTGACATGATTGTTGTTTTTTTTTTATTTTATAAATACCGATTTTGTTGTTAAATACCATTGAGTCGAGGAACAGCTGGTGGGTTTGATCTGCCGATCTGCTGTTAGTAGTCCAGTGCTTATCTTACAGTGCAACACTAGGACTCAATACTGATAGCTGTGAATAATAAATTGGGATACTTCCCTGCAGTCATACCAACCTTAAAAGGAGAAATTTGTGTTGTAAACAGATAAAACATTTTCTTTAATGTTAATATATTCATACTTAATTGCATGGGAATAGTAAAGAACAGAGGAGCCCTGTTGTAGCACTGTAGGATAAGCACCAGACTACTAACCCCAAGGCTAGCAGTTCAAACCCACCAGCCGTTTCTTGGAAACCCTACATAGAATCACTGAGTCAGAACTGACCTTAACAAATGACAGAAGTCTTTTACATGAACTTTTCATTCTAAAAATGGAGAATGATACAATGTCTATCTGGGTAAAATATTTTTGGCCATCTCAGTTAACTAATTTTTTATTCCTTTCATAAAAGTAAGTGATTTTAATTCTCAATCAGATCTTTTACTAGTTAAAATGGGAGATTTTAACTCTTCTAGAGCCTTAATTTTCCCTCTCACCACTATTTTTCAGACATATTTTTACTCATTTCTACTTTAAAAAAAAACTTACTTTTACATGAAAAAGCATTATAATGTTTAATAGTATAATTTCATGTATAATAGAAGCAATACAGGTTACCTCCATTAACCTCAACCAAGTATCAAGAACTTTAAAACTAGACTACTTTGGGACCTCATTTAGAAGGATGGCAAATTTCAAAATGATTTCTTAGATCAGTGGATAAAATAAGATTGAAAAAGTCTTAGAATATATGAAAACCCAGTTGACTATTCTGAGAGATTTAATATAAGTGATAGTACAAGTTGTCCAAAAGAGCTTTGTGCTCTATTATTAATGTTTTAGTAAGGACTTCATTGTTAGAAGTCTTTTCTCCATTTCTTTTTATAAAGGTAGATAAAATTAGCCAGGATACAGCTTCTCAAATCCTTAATTTATCATTTTTGTTGAGAGGAAAGGAATTATTATTCCTAATATATATTGTAGACTTTTAAAGATTTTGTACTAATTGATATGTTGATAAAGAGAATTTAAGTAATTTCAAGAGAAAATGGCCTTGTGAAGGTGATTTAATATGCTTCTTGCAGATGCATCTCTAGATGAAGAGATTTAAGATAAAACATGTACTTTATACATAAACTGTAGAACCTTGATCCAATGTGGAGCTTATCCCTAAAGGTATAGATTTGACCTTTGTGTAGTTAGGTTTGTGTCAGCCGGAGGATATTCTGCTCACTATTGACCATAAGAGGTAAAAATGTAAAGCTGTACTGAGCACCATAACTAATGTGGTGGTGGTGGTGATGTACCGTGGAGTCAGTTCTGATTCGTAGCTACCCTGTACAGGGTTTCTGAGGCTGTAAATCTTTACGGGAGCAGAAAGCCTCGTG